TGCTGAACCTAATAAAAACAGTGGTTGTCATGGTTTACTAGCAAAACTTTAGTGCTAACTCAGAGTCATGGCAAAGTGCCCAAATAGCCTACGCTCTGCATTCTGCACAGTCTCAGAGTAGTTATCAGTAATTGCATCTCCACCCCCTCCCTATTGCATATATTCCATGTACCATCCAATTCTTAACATTTATTATTCAGGGCACTTTTTGTTGGAGATTATCACAGCAGACATGCAAAAAAAAACCCCAACAACAAACAAACCAACAAAAAACCCCAACACAACAACAACAACAACAAAAAAAGCGGACAAGACCCGCACTGGTGGCGGCGGGAATCGGGGGCGAGGGAGGGAGGGAGAGGGGTGGAGTTTTTTTACCGCTTCAGCATCATTTGGGGGAGAAAGGGGGAAAATTCGCTGTTTGCGTTAACTAACTTTTCGTCAGACAGCCCCTCTGGTCCTCTCCAAGTACCGGGAATGTCCAGCCTTCCGGCTTATTTCGGGGCGAGGGAGGGAGGGAGAGGGGTGGAGTTTTTTTACCGCTTCAGCATCATTTGGGGGAGAAAGGGGGAAAATTCGCTGTTTGCGTTAACTAACTTTTCGTCAGACAGCCCCTCTGGTCCTCTCCAAGTACCGGGAATGTCCAGCCTTCCGGCTTATTTCGGGATGTCGCTGTCCCGAAAGGGTGGAGGGTCGCTGGTTCTGTGCAAGTCTGGCGCTCTGTCAGAGCAGACTTGTCAAAGGCAATGAACGGATCCCCTTTTCACGAGTTATTTATTTACTTCAGGAATTCAAAACCTGGTTGATGTAGTTGCCTCAGTGGTTTAGCTGTGACGCCTGACACTTGTGTGTGGTCGCTGACTTGCCGTGTGAAATTTCTCTCAGCGGTTTTGAATGGAAGAATTTGACAGAAAACTAAGGCTTTAGAGTTCGAGCAGACTTCCATTTGCAGGGGCCACTCTTAATTGATGCTTAAAATACTTGCTTTCTTTTGACAGTATTTGATGACAGAAGGGCCTTCGTTGTAAAAACTGATAGCAAGATGTGGCTCACTTTCCTGCTGGGTAAGTAGGAGTATGTTGAGGGAAAATACTGGGGTTCTTACCTTTCTTTCTCTGGAATTGTAAACTGTATCAAAGTATCACTGGAAATATAACTTGGGAAAAAAAAATCATAATTTATGTTGAAAGGAGACAGCAAATAATTTCCTACCTGGTAACTTTTAAAAAGCTGTTATGGTAGTAGTTGCTGTGGTATCAGGACACTTGTAGGTAAATAATTGCCCAGATATTCATAGACTTCTATTAGGCAGTCATTAATTTCTAGGGAAAAAAACAACACACAACTCAAACAAGCTCTTATTAAGTAATGTAATCAAACCAGTTTGTTTTGGAAGTATTACGGACAGAAGAACATACAACTGTAGGAGGATGTAGACTCAGATGTTGTTCTCTTTGGGAATATTTTGGAGTAAATATTAAAATGGCTAATGACCAAAGTCTTGAAAAAAGCACTTAAAGTATTTTCAAAAATAAATAAGAATGCGTTCCTGAAGTTAACAAGTGTTAAATAATAGCATATTTGTCAGATGCCCAATTAGGTGTGCCCTTACAAGTGTTATATTAGAAGACTGTCAGGGTATTCCAAAGATGCTGGCCCTGTTTATCAAACCACCAGTGGTCCTTGTTGCCAAAGGGATTTGCTTCAGTTTGATGAATTGTGTTGCGAAGTAGTAGCAGGGAAACAACCCTTAGCTTACAAACTTACTGATAAATAAACTGTTCCTGAATTGCTTTGCATACCTCTGTTTATTCAGCATTTCCTGGATCAGTTATTTACTTAGATGACATAGAAATGTTAAAGAGATGGTCAAAATTAAAAAATGCTTTCCTTTGATTGAAATTTGTGAGCAGGTTAGGTAGAAAGCTTTATGATTTCAGGAGTTTGAATTTGGCTGTGAAATGCAGATAACCAATTAAATATGTCAGGGAGCTATTTATATTTTTAATAGGATATTTTATAATATCTTAATGGCAAAGTATGTGATAGCATACAGTATTTGCAGTATCAATGAATATGCATATACTAAATATGAATTAGTGGGGTTTGATTAGTATTGGTGGCATTTGAGTTCTTGTTTTTGTGCTTAAGCTATAAGGTCAGTGTTTTGAAAGCAGATGCTCCCACAGTTGAAGCTAGTTTTGTTACAGGTTGTGGATTTTTTGTTCTCTTAAGAATTAGCTCCATTTATGTGCAGTAATAAAGTTGCCAGATTTTTAAGGTATTCTTATACAACACTTTCTCCTATTAAGATGTTGTTGTTTGTTTTTTTTAAATGAGCATTGAATTGAGGCCTTATTCTTGAAGACATCCTTTCTAGATTATGCAGAATCTAACAACAAAACATCTTGACCAAATTACAGAAGTAGTCAATGCTTGCATGTCCTCATTGTTCCCAGTTCTGCTGTATTCCTACCTGGTCACTTGCAAAATATTTATCAGTTTCTAGTACATTTCACATCCTGTTGTGTTAGACTATCTCAGCTTTTGTTGTTCTCTTGGTAAACAGATTTGGTATATTATGGCTTTATTTTTCAGTATCTAATTCCCAGAATTAGAGTGCCTTTTTATATGCCACTCACATTGCTTTTCTTAGAACAGAACACAGGCAAAAATAGGAAATCTGAAGAATAAGCTCAGATTTTACATAGCAGCCCTAGTCTGCAAAAGCCTGATCCTATGGTTTGCCTTTAGAGGGATTCTTAGGTTGGGTGAGAAAATGGCATCGCCAAGTTCAAGTACATAGGAGCTGTGTAAGTCCTGACAGCATTAGGACTCTAGTATTGCTCTCCTGTCCTCTGCTTCATTTCCCACCCCCCTGTAAGGACATTAATGGGATCAAAGGCTGGTAATTTAAGAGTGCTGATCTGCATGTTTTCCGTCAGAAACGAGCTTAATGTGAGTCTGGATGCAGTCTGTTGAAAAAAATGTCAATTTGGACTCTTAGTGGAAGTCTATGAATTAAGCACATTGTCTCTTGAAATGTGAGTAATTACATTAATTGCTGTGTGATTATAAAAGGTCTTCAATTTATACTTACAATAGTGATATTGTGAAGTTTTATAAAAACATATGTGAAATTCTCCAAAATAACAGTGAATGTATTTACACTTAACTGCATTCACTTCAAATAAAACGTTTACTGAAGGAAAGAATCAGATTTAAATACATTTTATTCTCTATGAAATAAGTGTTATGTTTGAATCTGAATTGTAATTTCCATATTAATAGATAATTTATTTGCAGCAATAGAATACTGCATATTTGGCTTATTTGGAACCACATGAATTTGAGCTCATGAACAGTGCTAGTAGCTAATGTGAATTTATTTTGACTTCACTGAATTTTCTTACCTAGCATGTAATCTGTCTTAAAATTGGTATTTTTTTATAGTTGTGGTGTGTGTATGTGTACATATATTTCAGCATCTGTTGGGGATCTTAGAAATTTTGCTGAGAAATGAAATGATGCCTTGTGCAAATCTAAGACTCAATAAGTAGTGACTAAGAAAGATATGGACTCTTTTTTTCCATACAATTACTGCAAGACGTGTTTGTTTGTGAAACATGGTTTTGCTGTGTTGTTGATAGAGCTGATGTGCTTACCTGGAATTCCATACCATACCTGTATCTGCTCTTCTGCAAAAGGAGTTTGCAGCTGTCCATGAGAACTAATGTAAATGTTCTTGGTGTAAGAAAAAAATAATCTCTAAGTCCTGTAACTTTCCTAAGACATTAAATTCCATTTAATGTGAACTGGACTGAGTCATCCTTTTTTCTAGGAAGCATATGTTAGAATGTGAAGTTTCACATGAAAGCTCATGGTACTCACTTTCTAACTGAAATCTTGGCTTTGCTTTGAGAAAACTACTTCAGTGGTTGAAGTGGAGCTCAAAAACTCTTAAGGAAGTTTCAGTGTGGTATTGTAACAACCTCAGCTACTACGTGAAGTATGTAAATTGAGGTAAATGTGAAATAGTACATGCAGGTGGTTTAGACTTCCTTTTTTTCCTTATATTTTTTTTTCTTTTTTCCTGTTTTACCCAGTTTCACCTCATACATAGTGTATACATAAACTTACATTTATGAACCTCAATTTTAATAGTAGTTTGTTGCATTGTGGCCTGTGGTGATAACAGATACTGTGAACAGCATCACATTCAGGCTCTGTATTGGAGGATCATATAGTTTCAGAATGTATACAAGGGCCTGAAGTAAACATATGGTCCACTCTTCTTTCCACATAAACTTAGTGGATATGCAAAGGTGTTTTTCTTTCTCTTGTCCCTGCTGCTTTCCAGAAACAGACCTCCAACGCATGCACATTAATTAATTCTTTGACTGTGTTTTATATCAGTGTGCAGGCACTTCATGCATGTTTTGCCTCTGAAGTCACAGGGTGAGTGTGGTGTGGGCTGGGCTGTAGGAGGTGTGTGCCCCTGTGCGGGTCAGCACCTTGGAGAGGTGTGTGAAGCTCAGCAGCTTCCAGCAGGGAGGGTGATTGTCCTTCCCTCTTTCTCTGCTCCGTGTAGCTCGTGTGAATAAAAGGAATTCTTCATTAATCATAATTGGATTGGATGCAACCAGCCTTTCTATGGCAGAGAGCAAGAGTGTGCCTGGAGGTCACCCATGACACCTTCAGTCTAGAAGGAGCACCACAGACACTTTAAATCCTACACTTTATCCCTCGCTTATGCTGGATTTGCTTCCATGGTGAGCTCTGGATATGTTGTGAATGCTGCTCAAGCAAAACTGAGTGGCTTCTGCTCTCCGTGGATCTTATAATGGTCAAGAAGTCAGAGACCTTGACTGTTTACCAACCACTTTATCATATTTTGTAGTTTCCTTTTGTTCTTCAGATTACCTCCCTTTTTCTGTACCTACATGGCAACAGTACAGATAGTCTCCAAATGGACAAATTGTATGTTATTACATGCAGAATCTACCTTTTTTTTTTTTTTTTTTTAGCAATTACAGTCACAATTAGTGTTGTTGGTCGCATTCTGTTTGAATATGACATCCTTACTCTTCCCTCGTGGTACAGGTGTCCTTTGTATCACACTGGAAATTATGAAAGCCTCAGCAGTCCAGCTGCAGCTGGATCTGCTTCAAAAACTTTATGGGTAAGCTGATGTATTTACAGAGCAGGAGCTGTGTCGTTAGCCAAAATCTGAGCAGTTGAGTGAACAGTCACAGTAGGTATCTTAAACTCTAAAAAATATTTTTGCATCTTTAAAAAATGCATATCATTCAGTTTTGTTATTGTTAACTGAAATGGGTGCATTAGATTCTGATGGATCAACTTGAGTGATAGAGGTGGGAACATGGCCTTTTGCTGAATGCATAATCGCATGATTTCAGATTTTCAGAGAGCTGGCCATGAAAGTAAATTCAGGTGTTCCTATTCTTCTGTTCCTCTGGAGGCTGAGTTCCTTCTGTGCATCTCTGAAGTAATACTGTAATTACTTTAAAGAACATGATTTAATGTTCAGTGATTTAAATGTTTGACTAACTTAACACATTTTGTTTCCTTTACAGCTGCTTTTGCAGGAGTCTTACATTGGTAAGGTTAAATTTATTGGTTGAGAGTAATATGATACTTAAAAATAATAAAAATATAATTTTGACTTGCATTTAGGCAAGTTATTGCGATAATTTATATTTACATCTTTCCTGTCAAATACAAATTGTTGTCTTTAAGATGAATAATTCTGTTCTTGTGAAGCTGATACGAAAGGCTTCTTAGGCCTGAAGAGTGAAGGCTGTTTTCCACATGGAAAATTTGCTTAGCTATACAAATTCAGGTGCATTTCCGCTAACATCCCTTTTTACCCACACTGGGTTTTGAAAGTCCAGGTAAATCCTTTCAACTTTTTCCTATGTCCTGCTTATTTAGATTCTGCTTTAATTTCTTAGTTTTGCATCTTGTCTTCTCTAACCTCGTCAGAGAAGTCTGGCCTGTGTTTTCTTTGTGTAGAGAAGAATGGCCTTTCAACTACTTTCTGTCAACCTAATCCTTGTGTTTCAAGTTCCATTCTAAAAGCGACCCTTTTGTTTTTTGTTGTATAGACTTAAGATAGAATGGCTGTAGCGATTTTCACCAGCTGCTTTTGCAGAGATAAAAAGTAACACCTTCTGGCACACTGGTTTTATTTCCTAGCTCAAAAAGAGCTACTGATTTTTAGTAGTTTTTTTCTTTCAAATTCCTATTCAAAACCAGAGTCATGTGGACTGTTCTGTTTCATTTTCCATCCTTTCTGGACATGAAGCTCCTATTGGAAATTTCAAATTTTGCCCCCAAAATTATTAGTATTTTTCCTGGCTATATATATATTTTACCCCCCTATAGCTGCACCATTATTTAAATATGCTCTATATGCATCTATACATAATGGCAGATAGCTGCACTAAAATACAGTTCAGGGAAGATTTTTGTGGAAAAAATGTGCTGCACTACTTGTTTGTGCAGTTATTTTCACCAGTTTTTAATCTCTGATTCTTCTTATCTGATATTTGCCTTTTCTAATATGTAGACTTGATAGTTTCAGTAGCATTACACTTTTGATCCTTAGGTGCATTCACTTAAGTTAAAATGTATTAAAGTATTACAACTAGTTCCATAATAGAATTTACTAAATGCTCTATGGATGCATATTTACCCCATTTAAAATAGTCTGAAAAGAGGAGAATATTGGTATAATATATAGGTAAATTAAAATAGCAGTTTGTAAGTAAACTTTGGGTCTTCAGTGAATGTTGTGCCAGCTGTTCCTTAGTATGTATGACTTAGCACAGGTTCTGAAACTCTATTCAATTTCCATTATTATTATTTTTTAACAGGTGTCATATAACAACTCTTTTTGAAAATGACCGTCACTTTTCTCACCTGTCAACACTAGAAAGAGAAATGGCTTTTCGCACAGAAATGGTTAGATTATGTTTTGTTAATAAATGAGTTGCTGGAAAACTTCTGTTTGTAATCTTGTGATTGTGGGCTTTCTAAAATGTCTTAATATTTTCTGGATAAGTAAATATATTGATGTCTTGCAGTTAACATTTATTACAATTCTCCATGCAGAGCATTTGAGTATCTTGCAGCTGATTACAGTGAATCTCTCTCTTCACAGTTCACATATAATTTAAAGAGGTGATTCTAGAGGATGTAAATTACAAAACTACAAGTGCTCTTTAGCATACTTTCATTTATAGTCTTGCTATGCAGCTTTTTAAAAAAATTAATAATTGTTTGCATATATGTACACCTTCTGACTGCTTTTATTGTGAGAATTTTGAAATACTACGCTAGTGCCTGGTTATCAGCCCTAATAAGAGATTTCCATATGTGCTGTTAAACAGAGTGGAAAGAAACCCAAGTTGCTTCAGTGACCCTGATAGAAGAGATCTTAAAAACTGGATAGTAATGCAGAATTACTTTTTCCTATCTGTTATATTACAAAATTTGATTTAAAAATGAAGCTTGTATATGGCAGTTCATGAAGCAGAAGTGACCTCTTTAATTGTAAATAATGATTCTGCTTTTTTGTAGGGTCTTTATTATTCCTACTTCAAGATCATTATTGAGGCACCATCATTTTGTAATGGAGTATGGGCAATTATGAATGACAGAATAACTGAATATCCTTTAGTGATTAACACCTTACAAAGGTTCAATCTCTACCCTGAGGTGAGATATGTTTTTAAAATACTCTCTTCTGATAAATCTTAGGTTTCCTTAGAATTGACTATTAAATCTGTAAGAAATGCTTCTTTGGAAAACGTGTTATAAAGACACAGTGACTAATGAAGTGTTGAATTCTCAGACTTTAAGTATGTTCAATCTAATGTGAATACTCTGTAGTTCTTAGTATTTCATGCCTTAAAGTTGCAATCTGATTCTTCTTGTCTTCTGTTGTTCTTTTCACTGACAGCAAGTAAGTTGCTGACGTTGTGTATTGAGAGGAAGAAGTACCAGTAGTGTGTGACAGTGTCTGTAGTGATACAGGTATTGAGACGTTATTCTGGCCTGCATTTTGTGTAGGACAATGAAATGACAAATCATCACGGTTCACTGCGGTCCTAAAACACATTAATGGCAATCTTTTGCTCACATGTTGCAGAATAATTTGGTCTGCAGACAACTGACTGCTGTTGTTTATGTACTTGATGTTAGGTCTGTTACCTGGTGAGGTTACTACTCTGCCTTTCTGTCACTAAAATTAACATGTAATTAAATAAATGTTTGATTTCCTCTCTCTTATGGTTTTACCTTTGTGTTTCAAATATTTTGCAAAGGTAGAACTCCTTTGGTTAATGTGCATTTTGGTAACTTCATGTGTCAGCAACAGCTTGTTGTTTGGAGAGCAAAGGATTAATAATGGCTGTGATTTTTGGGTACTAGCATCTATACTCATTCTTCTGCTCTATCAGAGCAGAGCTGCTTTCAGGAACTGTATGGGTAAGAGATCTTGGCATACGTGTATTTATACAGCTTGCATGTAGTGGTTTCATTTGCTTCTTAATTCCTTGCTTTGGAAGAACTAAATGCTCTAGATGAGTGCTCTTTATTACCCTCTCACTGGTTTGGGATTTGTTTAGGTTTTTCTTTACTGTTTATTTGTGGGTTTTTTGTTGCTTGTTTTTTTAACTCAAAGGGATTGCACTCCAGTTGTAGAAATGCAACATAAGGAACATGTGCCTCATTTGAATGCTACCCAGTTATTGTGTTTAGCTGAGGAAGATTGAAGTTATTTTGTTTAGGTGAGAAAATTTTAATGACTTCAGCTATAGTCTGAATTGCAAAAATCAAAGGTAACTGGTCAAATAGACTTGGTCTTAGAGAAACATCAGTATCACCAAGCAAGATGACTAAGTAAATTGGATGATGACATCAAAGCAAGAGCAATTTGTTATAGTGGGTGGCATTCTGTAAGAGCATTAGGTAAATTACTGTGCAAAATATTTAGCCTTGTCTGTTCATTCAGAGTTTTCTAGGATCTTACTGGCTCATAGAACTTGGTGATATATCTACAAAATTGTCAATAGATGTAACTTGACATTTGAAGTATGTTACCCAAATTTATCTAATCAGAAATAAAATGGGGCTGGCTGGTAGGAAGGTGCTTGTGTGTTTATTTGTTGGCAGTGAAGTTTTTCCTTCTGATACTCAGTATCCAGTTGTGTTTTCTGAAAGTGTTTAGTTTCCTGTTTGTTATTTTAGGGTCTCGCCAGCCATTTCAGCCTAATAGTGGCATTCAGGCTGAGTTTTAATAAAAATCTTCATTTAGCGGGTTTCAAAATTGTTGCATCAAAAATAGCATTGAAATCTGGTTACTAAACAGGATGTTAAACCCATTAAGAAAAATAGAACAATTCACCTGGATGTACAGCCAGTATAAGTCATGAAATCTTCAAAAGAAGGAGAAAAAATCCAACAAAGTAAAGTGAGTCCATAGTAATTACTCCATCATCTGTGTAAATAATAAATATAAGACCTAAAAATACCTGTGAAAAGCAACAACTCGTTCTTCATAGCTGTACAGTAGTGTAGTCTCAAAAGTCTTGGCTTTTTAGGCTTTTGCTGCATAATCAGGTTGTTCCAGTAGTTGTTTTCATATGTGATCTCTAATGCAAAATGGCAGAGAGAGAATGTGTCAAGTTTAGTCTCTGGCGGGTCATTGTCACAGAACAGTGGATAATTCTGTGTATTGCAGGGATGATGGAAATTTGAGCTGGAGTTGGTGTGTAGTTGATGTGCTAAAGTGTAGATGTATTAAAGTGCTTACTCAAAGACAACTAAGAAAAGGCTTTGACTGTTTTCTACATCTGATTTTGCAGTCAAGGACTGGCCTGGCCCACAGGGATCTCCTGGGTCTAAGAGCCAGTCATTTGTTTTCAAAGTTTTGCATTTCCTGCCTTATCTGATAGGGGATGGTAAAAATTCCAAAAACTACCTAGCAATTTACTGCTACTGATTTGCTTCTTTTTTTTTATGCCCATGTTAACTGTTCCATGTAAAGTAGCTTTTGTCAAAAAATTCTTCTGTGTTTTGCATGAAGTACTTAACCTGGTTCCTTTTTTGGGAGTGTTAATGCATGGTAACATCTGCAGCAGACACAAGCACTTGTGACATGAAATGGTTAAGTTAATAAATCTATTTTAATTTTTTTTTGTGCAGCTGTATTTCAGCAAGGGTGTTTTGTGTGCTTAGACTAAAGTCAGCTTCAGGACTGGTGATGCAGATATGCTAGGTTAGATGTCTCTGAGCTTCCATATGCATTCTGTTGGCAGTGTACAAATCACATTCAGGTGAAAAGAGGAGAGATTTGTATTTTGTTCCCCAGTCTCGCTATTGCCTCTGGAGATGGGGCAAGTTCATGCATGCACACATAGAGAGCCAGAAGTGCCAGGGCAAAGATGTTCTGAAAGCTTCCAGAAGTTCAGCATAATGTACTTTGCAGGACACAATATTAATGCAGGGAGTCTTGGTCTAGAAAGAGGTAGTTGTATTATAAATCTATAAGATTTAAATTGAGAGTATGAAGGTCACAGAAGTGAGTAATGATGATTGGATCGCTGGTATTAAAAAGTAATGAATTATAAAATTGCAGAATGCTGAGGTTGGAAGGGATACCTGAAGATCCATCTAGTCTCAACGCTGCTCAAAGCAATGTGAAGAATAGATTGTTCAGGGCCATCTCCAGTTTCACTTTGAGTATCTCCACCTGTGGGCAACCCGTTGCAGTGTTTGTCCACCACAAAGTAAAAAATGTGTTCCCATATATAAGTGGAATTTCCTGAATTTCAGTTTGCACTCATTGTCTCTTCTCTTCTTGAACAAAAATAGTCTGTCTTGGTCATCATCACTCTATGTTCTTCTTGTCTTGGGCAGCCCCCAACTGGTCTCAGCGCCACAGGTATGGTCTTAGCAGTGCTGAGTGGAGGGGAAGGGTTGCCTCACCTGTCCTGGTGAGGTACAGCTGGCTTTCTTTGCAACAACAGCTTATCACTGGCTCACGTACAACTTGTCCACCAGAAGGTCCTTTTTCTGCAAAACTGCTGTCTAGCTGGGCAGCTGCAGCTTCTGCGGGTGCATGGTGGTGGTGTTGCTCCTGGGGGCAGAAGTTTGAGTTTTCCTTCTGTGGAATTCCTGCTGGCTCATATCTCTAGTTTGTTGAGTTCCCCCAGAATGACAACGTGAGCATCAGGCACTCAGTCCATTTGTGTGTATTGAGTGCAAACTTGCTGAGGATGCTCTCTTGTTCCATCATGTAGTCTTAATAAAGAGCAAAATTGGCACCAGATGAAAAATAACCCAACATCCACAGCTGTCCCCTGATCTGCCAAGACATTAATCTCAGAAGGTTATGAAGTTGGGCTATGTAAGTCCATATTGACCACTCCAAATCAGTTTTTTTCCTTAGTATGTTTTTTTCATTGTATGGGGAAATGTAAGAGGGAATAATCCTTCTTGTACATGCTCTGTGTGACACAGGGCTGAGAGAGCTAATGCTGCAATGGTGAAACATTTTCAGTCTGGGAACCCCATGGTCATAACTTTGAAAGCAGCTCAACTGGAATGGCCACATTACTCATTTATGAACCCTGTAAAGTTGGTTATATCCTGATGGAACAGCATTGTAATGTTAACTAGTGACTTAGCTGTGAGATGAGTAATCATTTTTTGGTGTGTAAAATACTGATGTTTTCTGTGTCAGGTGTTGAGATTTAATTTGGTTGTTGTTATAAGAACATGTTTTTATAAGAGCATTATGATTTGCATGGGAAATGAAAATGCTGTCTTACACTTCATCTAGAAGCCTTTTCTGATACATGCTTAAATTAAACCTATAAAAGGTTATCTCAATAAAACCTCTAAAGATGGAGTCCATTAATATTCTTGCCAGGTGAAAAAAAATTAATTGGTTTTAGTGGATTTAATTCAGCTAAATGTCCTCTGTCAACAAAATCTGGGATTTTAGTATCTGGTAAACGAAAAGAGTTCAATGGGGAACCTTCCAGACAATATTGAAATGTAGAATTTTTTTCAAATATTACAGTTTGATTCATGACATTATTTCTGTTCTATAGTAGGCATAATTAATAAACACTGAGTCTATTAATGAACACTGAGTCTGCGTTGGATGCCTTGAGGAAATTACGGTAAAAAATGCTAAGTTGTTGAGATAAATTCTGAGCTTAAAAACAATCCTGGACGAGGGCCAGTTGTCAGGAGAGGTTACCTTGGGCATTGAGCTAATCTCAAAAGTTCCGTTTCAGAAACTTAGAATCCTGTTTTTCACCTAGGTGGTCCTTGCCAGCTGGTACCGCATATATACCACCGTGATGGATTTCTTTGGTGTACCAACAAAGACGTGTTGGACCGTAAACAGGGGAAAGGGGCTTAGTCCTGTTGAAAGCTGCGAGGGTGAGTTGAGCTTTATTGCAGTTTCTTCCTGGAAGCATGCAATTGTGGCTTTAATATTTCAGAAGTAATAAATATTCCCGTGTCTTCATCGCTGATATGCTTTCATTTGGCTAAGTCTGTTTTTTTGGCAGGTTTGCCACACAAGTGAGAAGCATGACAAAATGATACTTACAAGAACACCAGGAATGAGTTTGTGGGCTCTGCTTATTAGCTCTTTTTACCTAGGTTGAATTCCTGTACTGCATTTCAAAGCTTCACAATTGTAGTCTGAGCCTTTGTAATGTTGGACCATTTTAAAAAAAAAAAAAAAGTCCTGAATGTAGCAGGAGGCTATTCCAGTATTAAACTGTGTATTTTGTAGCTTCTGTGGAATCCCTAATACATCCAAATTCCTGCATTTCAGAAACGTTCCTCTATATGCTTCCCTAACTACACCTTGAGGAAGGGGGAGAAGGTAATCACAAGGCTTCCTTTTTGAGAAATCTTGTGTAGTGATTCTGTTGAAAAGAATCTTATTCCACTTGTGACCTGTTATTCAGCATAAGAATTTCAGTGTTACAACTTTGTTTTGATAACAAAGTTTGGATGCTGCTACTTACTTGATTTTTTTCCCCCACATTCAAAGTGTGGGCTTTTCATGTCAGCATTGTGTGATAAAAGTACCTTGCTGAGAAACACTTTTGAGATGTTCCAGTCAGTTAAAGCTGAATGATAGATGGTAACTTGTGAAACTGTTTCACTTCATCATTTAGAAGGCCTTTGTGTGGTGACAAGTTCGTGTTTTTCCATTGCAAAAAGGCTATAAGAACCTTCTTCAGAACTTGAATTATTAACTTTCTTTAATTTTGTCAGAAGCAATAAATACTGAATAAATGTTTAACTTTTCCTCCCTTTTTGTTGTAAAAAACAAGCCAACAAAAACACCAGCCTTTTAGGCTGCCGTGTTTGGTGAGCGTGTCATCATTTTACTGGTGAATAATAACTTCTGCATATGAAACTAGGAAGTTTAGCTGCCTTGTCTATAGTGAATAAGGCTTTTTATGCTGTATTGCTGAAGTGATTAAAGCCAGGAGGGTTTAAAGAAACAATGGGAAAGAGAATAACAACAGAAGTGTGAACACAGAAGTATTTGTGAATGAATAAGTAGAAAGTTTTTCGTTATTGGAAAATTACTTGGCTGCTAATGAAACAGAGAAAGCAAAGAGCACTGTGTGTGATATGTTTAAAGGTGGATTTGCTCCTGAAAGAGATGAGAAGTGAGAGGACAAACCTGTTCTAAAATCCTCTGTGAAGTCAAAACGTAGTCTGTAGAGCAATTCTTAGTGATGCTTAAATCTTCTATACACTGCAGGTTTTTCTTTACAGTTACTGCTTCCCTCTTGGCTTGTTCTATTATTGACTGCCCCAGTGCTGTGTCTACCCCTCCTCAATTTTTTTCAGTAGTTTTCTGGTTATACGTCCAGAATAATGGTGGCAAAATTAACTTCTGTTCGTTGTCTTTCTGTAGATATATTATAGTACTATGCTGTGTGCTGTATGATGCTGATTGTATGGTGGTTTATAAGCAATATAGTATTTCTTCTATATTTGACAACATATCTTAACTGTTTGTCTGCTAGGATTGGGAGACCCCGCTTCCTTTTATGTTGCTGTCATTTTTCTTTTGAATGGATTAATGATGTCACTGTTCTTCATATACGGTACATACCTCAGGTAAGACAGTTGAGACTGCGCTGTTTAGTTGGTACTAGCTGTCAGTTTTCACACTGAAATTGAAAAAGTGAATGCTCAAATATTTTATGAGATATTGCTTATTTGTTTGGATGGTATTAGTGCTATTTAATGCATATATGTTGTCACCAAAAAATTACTGGAACAGAGAAGCTTTTTGAGCTTTTTGCTTAAAATAAATGATGATCCTGGAAAAAGGTTGTGGAAAATTTCAGTGAAGAGGTATCTCATTGATACCACCGAGTTGTGGATAAAACTGATTTCTGTACAGGTTCTAAACAGCTTTTGACAGATTTCTGTGCTTGAAATTGTCAATGTAACTAATTTTTAAGGAAAGTTTGAATGACTGTATACTTCTAACCAGGACTGGAATTTTCCCAGTGCTTTACGTCTAGTCACGCTGCATGTCTTTCACTTTTAACTGAGAGGCAAAATAGTTTTTAAGATAACATGTTCTTTTGGAGATATGTATACATTTCCCTTTTTCTACAAATTTCTCCTTTTGGTATCCTTAAATTTCAGGAACTATAATAGACTTTCATACAAAAAATAGACTCAACGTTCATCAGAAAATAGAAGTGAAATATGTTTCTCTTTATCTGTTTTCAGTTCTACAAAAAAGCAAAACACTGCTACATTTTCCTCTGAGAAGTGTGATTGGTTTTTTGCCTTCATTCCTTAGCTTCACTATCTTGTGTTTTTCTCCTGCTTTCTCTGAAGCATGTGCTGGTAGATCAAATAAAGAGCAGTGCAGGGCAGAAGCTGACAGTGAAAAGAAGAAGTTGCCTAGTTCACTGATAAGGTGTTTGGGGTTAAAGTGTGTATGTTTGCATTCCTTAACATAGGAAAATTATGTCTCATGTTTTGAGGAAGCAGATTATCTTTGAATATTTGTATGATTAAATTCTCATTTTTCTCTTCAGGGAGGTTGATGGAAACCTAAATTTTTATATGCTAATGTCATTAAAAAGTCAGTATGGTCCCAATTTCTCAGTACTTTCTTTAGACTTGGACTGTGTTGGATATAAATAACTATCAAGTATTGACAGTAATTCAGTTTTTAATATAAACAATCTGTAGTGTAGGCAGTCAAGATGACTTGACAAGAAGTGCAGTTATTTTAGGGTGTAAGCCACTAGCTATCTGGGCTTATGAAAAATAACAAATGACTACCAAGTTTCCTGCAGGTAGGATTTTGATATTTATTAGTTATTACAAGGAATGTTCATAGTTGAGTACCAGATCTAGATGACTGTTTAGTGTTGCAAGGTTCCTCTTAAACAAAGCAAGGCAGAGTATTTAGGCTTTTCCACAAGGTGTGAAAAATAATCTGGAGCAATCAAAGCAATTCTGCTAAACTGGATCTTATGAATTGATGTCTTCTTCATAACTCTGAAGAAGATGCTTTTCTGCTGTGCCTTTTGAAAGACTTTTTCATAGCCTGACTAATTTGTTGTTTGTTTCTATAACTTTTCATTCCTGATTTTGTTAGTAATAATAATCTCAATCTACATCTATTTGGTTTTTTGGTCTCTCTATATGTTCACAGAATGTGTAATTTCTTTATTTTGGCCTTTATTTGCTTCTACTCTCTTTGCAACTTAGACTAGTAATGGAAGACCACTTTCTTATAATTACTTTCCAAGCTAGCATGTGTTCCTGCTTTTTTCCTTGCTGTACTCTGTAATGAGCTTGTGCAAAGAGTTAACAGAAACCTAGTTGCTTTTGTAGGACTAGTTTTTGCTGATTAACTCCCTTCACCAATTTTGAAGATTACTGGACATGGTGTGTCCCTGCCCTAGTCCTCTGTATATGGCCTCTGGTTATGCGAAGGCACTTGGGAACCTTCTATGATGCACATTAGTCTTAAGCACTGGACTCTTCTCTGTTAGGCTAAATGAAGCAGTATGTTGAGAGCTCATTCCAGGCTTTTTGTTCTTGAGTTAGTAGGTTTTTTTTATGGTCAAAGGAATGGCATGTGGATGATAAGTACTTCTTGGAATTGTAAGATTCTGCCTTACCTCAGCCTTCCCTGCCTGTCTACTCTTGTAGTCAAGGCACAGAGTACTTGAGCTGATAGTCAAGTACAGAATCTTAAAGTGAATTTCTCATACCTCTTTCTGACAATACTTTTTCAGTATTTTTGTTTCTTGCATGTTAATCAACAATGAATTCTAGCATTTCTGTTGATGATTTTCTTTAAGCTTCAACTTAATGTATGCAGAGAGTCAAAAGACTAGTTCTTCCCCTTTATTTCAGAGCTGACTACTGGACAAAGTGTTACAGTTCAGGTTATCTACAGTTCTTTAAAAATTACTATTTCTTAAATTTATATTGTTATGTATTAAACATGGGGAAAGTAGGTTCCAGCTGAAAGGCATGTTCTTCACCAGTTGTGGTATGGTGTGGGAGTTCAGTCGAAAGAGTTACCCTTTTTCTTTTACATTGGCATAGAAGGGCTTAACCTACTGTATCTCCTACATGACAGCATTGTGCTGTTGGAAGATAACGAGTCTAACTCAATATTATACATCACCCTCTGTGGAATAGGCCCTGTTTACTTCCTTTTCTGGAAGAGATAAAGGTGCATTTCCCTATTCTGTGCTATAGGTTTGCTGGTCTTCTCTCGTGGTAAAATAATGATCCTTCATAGAAACTCATGTCTAAAATGTTCATAATGCAAGCATTAACTTGTATGACAGACCTTGAATTTTGTTTCTGGAGTTAGGTATGTTTTTGCAAACTCTCAGTTGACTTTGTCAGGCTAACGTTTTTTTTTTATGTTAAGCACATTCTTTTAGTGATTTTTAGTGTAATCGTTGGTGCTTTTAGAATTTGTGGAGTGAAAGAGTGAGCTTTATGTGCAAGAATGCACAATTTCTGTATGTTGTTTTAGCACTCGATATCTTTAATCCTTGGATACTGTACCTAGAACTCACTGATTCTGTTTGACTTGTATTCTGTTAGTGATGGGTGAAAGATCTGGGAGGTTTTTTCAAAGAATGTTAACAGCTGTCTGATACTGCTGTTTAATAGCAAAAATGGTATATCTTGGCTCTCGTAGCCGTAGTGCACTTGTGTGCACAAAGTTCTTTGCTTTGTATCACAGGATGCAATTAATTACAAATCTAGTCAAATGAAGAGGAGCCCTATCTATTCCTGTTTTGATATGGGATCCATCTAAGATCTTTGGTGCTAATTATTCAGCAGGTCTATTTGATGTAGAAACATGCAAATCCTTAAGTCAAGGGCTTAAAATTTCCTTGTGTTAAAGCCACAATATTTTACAAAAGGATTACATTGTATCTTGCATTTATTATGTCATTAATTCATTTTTAAATATGTTTTTTGAACATACTTGATTTGATTACCCTAACATTCTGAGATTCAGGCCCAAGTTACTTGTTGGGTGATTGAGAATGCAAATTCTGCAGTTTCCTGCTCAACATTTTAGGGAAGAAATACTCCATTTATATCACCAGGTGTTTAAAAAAAAAAAGTTTGGCACTTTTCAGGAACAAGCTCTAGGTACAGCAGATGAAGGACCAGATGTAGTGATCTAAATCAAAATTTGTGATGAGTGTAATAACTGTTTTCCAAGGTTTTATATGTTAAAATTAGTGTTCTGCACAAGTGAGCTGATATGTAAAGAGTGGCCTGCTCTGAAATAGATATTAGCTGACTAACTGGTATTTTATGGGCAGTGTAGATTGCTTTTCCTTGATGCTTGAAAGCATTTCCCATCCCCCTCTCAAAATGTATAGAGGTGCTACTTCACATTTTTTAAGCAGCTGTATAAGATTTTGGTTTTACCTGTTTTTCATGTTCTCTTCACAGTGGGAGCCGTCTAGGAGGTCTTGTTACTGTGATGTGTTTCTTTTTCAACCATGGAGAGGTAGGTCTCCCTCCCCTACCTGAATCTTTTTCTTCTTTTTTTATTTTTTTCTTAAGGTAATTCTCATTTTATTAAAGATAGTGATGTTTTTTATCTATTAGGGGATTAATGTAAAGGGAATATGACATGGAAAGCAAAATAGATTGTGAATCAAAAATGTATACCACAGTCCAGTGTGTCACCTTAGATGTTAAAAAACCCCGCAAAAATTCAGAAAAGTAATAAGTTGTAAGGTGGTCCTGAGATTGAAATCTTAGCAGCACAATTACTTAAACATTGAAATACTCTATTTTTGTGCCCACTCCAGATATAACTGTGCCAGATTCCCATATGAACAAACTTAAGAAACACTAGGAGTTTTTCTTTGAATTGCTAGGTATTTTACTGGAAAATCATGCATACACACAAAGCAAAGAAACATCTGTAGTACTGATACACTAGAGCCAGGATACACAGAATTTAGAAATTGGATATGTATATAGAGAATTCCAATGCTAAATTTCTTTAGTAAGCTTCACTAAAGGGGAAAAGGTAACTGTGACTTAAAACTTATCCTTGTCTCTCCAGATAATGCTGTTCATGGCATTGTTTTATATTTTGTAAAAGAAAACTCCTGGCTTTTATTCTGCTACACTTGAGCAATATTTCTGTTTTTTATTGTTAATTTTATTTGTAAAATCTTAAGTAAATATTTATTTTACTTAAAATGCAGCTGTAATGTAAATATTTTCTACATGGAAACTAGCTACCTCATGATATTGGTAAGAGTTAAGTTAGTTAAGAGTTAGTTTTACTTTCTTCTTTTTACTCAATAGAGAACTCAGGGTATTTGCACATAGTAGAATCAAATAGGCTTCTACTCATAGTGAGTTTTCACAATTTTATTATAAAGATCTGTGTGATTAAATAGCTATTTTATTTTTAAGTTTCATTTGAAATGCTTTAAGTAACCTCCATGAAGAATTTTCACTTGTGGATGTTAACTGCCTGGTCCGGAGTTTCTAAGCTTTATTTTTTTTGGTGCTTTAAGAGGCTAAATACAAAATTTTGTATGGTTTTCTATTCTTCTTTATGGCATTCTGCAATGAAATGAATATTTTATCCTTTTCTAGGATATACTGATAGACTACACACTGTTTTGCCAGGTCTGTGCAGGTGATAAAGTGTAATTCAGAAAGGAACAAGTTGAAAACTTCAAAGATAGTAGTAGCAGTAAAAAGAAGCATTTATTTCATTGTACTACAGGCAGTTCTCCTATCTGTAGGAGACCTTATTTCTCTCTATGGATGACTTGACTTGGGGGGAAAACATAGACAATATGTGTATTTTGGAAAAGGGCATGTAATTAGGTCTAGCATACCTCTACACAAATGTAGTCTTGGCGTAGGTAGAGTTTAAGTAGGATGACTGATGGATTTCTGAAGAGCAATAGGACTTTCTTGGAGAGGTGTAGTGTTGGATCTTAGGTGGCTTCTTGCATTTGTACTGTACCTAATGAAATAACTCGAGTTATTTGATACTGTGGATGTAGAGCTACAGTAATATATGTAGTTACATATATGTAGGTGGTCTAGCTTCACTGTATGTAATGCTGAATCACATGCATGGGTGTGCGTGCACTCGGGTATAAAAAACAATTTATTTAACACTTTGATATGCCTTTGGTTCTGTGGAATCCATCTTGCATGTGGTTCAACAGTGTGTACAGTGGAGGTAGACCAGTTGCTAAAATTTTGCTTTTCTGTTCTAGAAGGATAGGACTAAGCTGAGTGAGTAATCCTGTAAGTCTCGCATGGTATCTGAGATCCAATGTTTTGTAGAAGTGGTTCACCTTCTGGCATTGAGCCGCTGTCCCTAAGGCAATATATTTTATTTGTGCTTCTGCTACTGTGTTTTAATGGTTTCAAGCTTAGACAGCTCTGATGTATTTATACCTACAGCAAAGTTAGTTTACAGTAAGCTTTGATAAATCATCTACAGATGATTGAGTTTCATATTACATTCCAAATACAGAAAAATAGCATGGGCTACATTAGTCACTCCACTTTTAAGGTAATGCTTTCTTTTTATGGTTGTATGCACTCATTTCTTTCCTGTCTGTCTCCTCCAGTATCAAAAGATTTGGTAAATGTTGCTGTAGTCTTGATAAATAATGAAGTAGACTACAGTTCTTTAGAATAATCATGTTTATAGTTGTTGATAAGGAAATAATTTTAACTAATCACATCTGTGCAGCCAGCTGAAGAAAACACATTAGTCTGTGTTTATGAAAAGTTTATTTTAGTGGCAATCAGGGTGCAGTTTTTACAGGCCTTTTAGACAGCATTTGATTAATGTGATGGACTTCTGTACTTTGCATCTGTTTTACACTATTTCTACACATTTATTTTACGCTGTTAATTTAACATATTTGTGAAGTAGCAAGACAATAAGCAAGGAATTGTTTAATTTTAGTGACTTCTTTGGTAAAGTAGTATTTTAAAAAAATGTTTTTAAGAATATAAGAGTGAAAGAGAAGGAACATTCTGGCCTCGATATCCTATAAGCTTTTAGAGATTAATTTTGATCCATATTATGATTGACTACATTTTTGTCCTGTAGTTTTAAGTAACCTACTTGTAATTATTAGTGCACATCTATTGATAGCCATTTTGAGCCCTTGTGTATGTGTGTCAAAGCTGTTCTGTAATTTGTAATTATTTTTCGATGGTTATTGCCATCTGCAAGCATTTCATAAAGAGCTGAATATAAACATTGGAGATGACAGTTATAGCTGAGCCATTTACCATGGACACCAAGAAATTAATGAAGAAGCTATTCAGTTGACTTCATTGTACTATGCTTGAGCAGAATGTAAATTAGTATAAGCTTAGTAAGAGCTTAATTTTGTGTGTTCAGTTTTACTGGCCTGTTTGGGAGGGCACCTTCACATTTTATACTTTCTGTGCTGTTGCTAGTAGAGATGTGAAATGTTTATAACCTAGAGAACTCTAGCATAATGAAGAGAATGTTGCTTTATTCTTCTGATCCTCTTCCCACACACATTCTCCATTTAAGTGTGGCAAGTTAACTGAATTTGAGAATGGTTTTAGTTGCCTGAAAGAGTTGTTAATTTCAGGAGAAGCAGGACCAAGCAGCTGTTGTCCTGGCTTTTTTCTTGGATATTCTGTCGCTGCCACATTTAATTTTGGAAAAGCAGTGATCTATTTTAGTTAAACAGTATGAATTTAGTCTGGAAGCCACTTAGTTTTTCCCCTTCCTTTCTGCTTCCTGGCTAGTTTTTCTTCAGTTTGTGAGAAAATATCACATAACTTGTTTTTTGCTTTCTGGAAGTATCTGTCCTCATTAATATTGAAATACAAATGCATCATTTTATGGAAATGTATCAGCAAATGTTACAATCTGACTCTTCTTATTTTTAGTGCACTCGTGTCATGTGGACTCCGCCACTTCGTGAAAGTTTTTCATACCCGTTCCTTGTTTTTCAGATGTTGCTTTTGACCTATATTCTCAGGTACTTCTCAATTTATACTTAGCTCTTTACAATGATTTAAATAATTGAGTGTCACAGGACATTTATTTTAAATAAATATTTAAAGAAATGCATTTAAGTGCCTCTGTGTGATGTAACAATGATATCATTAACATAGAAACTTTCCTGTGGCTGTTACATTGCAGACGCTGCACCAGTAGAACTGCAGTCGTATTACTCACTTATTAAAAGGAAAACCTTTGCAACTCGAAGACATGATTAAAATAACAATCAGAATTACTGTCTTGGCAAATATGTATCTAAACTAAAAATCAGAATTTTTGGTTGATGGCACTTCCTTCCCATGAGAAACAAGCTGATACTCCATCAATTGGTTTTATCCCTCTTGGAGAGTGGTATGTTGGTTGCACTTAGAATAAGCTTATGCTATGCAACAGAGGATGCTCTAAGCACCCATAAGCTAGTATGTTCTTGCAGTTTTCTGTGACTAATTAACTAGTCTAATTAACTAGTTCAATGATTTAGAGCAATGTAATTACATTGAAGCAGGGATGCTCATGAGTTCAGTAGCCCTGCTTTTACGAGGTTGTTTCTGGCTTGCGACATGATTGTGTTACTGTCTTGCCTCTGTTTTGAAAAATAAGCATGATACTTGTGAGCTTTTCCATCAACCTTTTTGTATCAGATTTATAACGTATTTATGATCTGGCTGAACTGTGTGCTTATAACCTCAGATTTTCCTTTATCAGGTCATGCTGATTGGTAGTTATTGATGATTAAACTAAAAATAGTTTCTGCTTGTCACTAACGTGGGTTTTAGGTGAGGAAAAGATAACACACTGGCTAGAAAAATATTCTGAGGAATAGTTTGTAGAGTCATTGCTAGATTTCATATTAGAAATACTTCATTTAATGCTAAATTGTGAGGTCAAACAAAACATGGGGAAATTAGACTTTTAAGTTACAGTGAGCAGACCACATATATTCTGTGCTTATAATTATGAAACTTCTTAGTGTCTTATTTTAGATAGATTCACTCGAGTTCTTCAAATCTTGGTACAAAAAATAGCACTTGGGCCTTCTTACTGAAGAGAAGTTGTTATTTAATCTAAACATTTCAGAATGGGGTTCCAAAATGGGGATAAAACATTTTAACTTTCCGTTTCTCAGATTTAATTCCTGCTTCAAGAGCAGCAGTTTTAAGTATAGCTAGGTCTAGGTCTAGTTTTCCAGTGAAATATAGAACTGTCTTTGAAACAGAGACTAGAACTGAAGTTCGCCATTGTTTGTATCACTTGCATCACATTTATCTAACATATTACTTAATACACTACACTTGAATTTAGTGTGATTTCCAATAGAGGTTAATACTGAGGCTTCATAACATAAGCTGAAGAAAATTTTGCAAATTCTGGTGAGACTGGTGTAGTCTGGGTTTAGGTTTTACAGCAGAATATTTACGGTGTATTATCTGTTGGAGACCAGTTAGTGATACGACATGTTTCTGAAGTGAATGTGAAGCTAACACAGGATTAAATAAGTAACACTTAGAGGAGGACAAAGAGGATGGGCTGTTAAAGATGAGTTTGATTTATTTGTCAATTTCTTCTGCCCTGAAACCTCACTCAAGCTTGCTAGTAGAGAGTTGCAGAAAGTAAATATGGAAGAAATGCAATAGGAGTGAAGATTCTTTCAGATGCAGACTGTTCTGAGAATATTTGTGATCCCAGCTGAAATAGAAATGCTTTTGACCTTGACAACTTGAGTTACAAGATACTCAACCGCTGAACTGACAGGTCGGCTGCTACCAGCAAAAGACTTGTTTGATAATGAGTGACTCATCAAATAGTTAAGAAACACTAAGCATCAGAACTATATTTTTTTTAAACTGACAGGAAATAGATATTAAATTTACTTTTGAGCACTATTGTTTGCAGTTGATGAATATTACTGGCTAACTTCCACAGTAATTTTATTGCATTTTCTATTGTACTTTTCAATAAAATGGAAATACCTGTGTAATTTTACTTACTGATGCCTGTTCTGTCTCTTTTTTCCAAGGATTCCGAATATTAATACAGGAAGCTTGATTGCACTGTGTATTTCTAATATTTTTTTCATGCTTCCCTGGCAGTTTGCTCAGTTTGTTCTTCTAACTCAGGTAAGACTATATTTACCTCTAAATAACCACTTTGTCTTATCTAAGCAAATTGACTGCTTTGCATTGAATTCACAACTATGTCAATGCTTTCCTTTTAGCCAGATTTCAGTTTTGCTGTAATTTATCACATCGATCATTTCTGGTCTTTAAATTTAAAGTTGAACATTGACACTTCTCAGTCTTCTGTGTCCAGGACTAAAAAAATTACTTTTGTCTTAAAAGCAGCCTCCAGCTTAAGATCAGTACATTAGAGCAAGTGCAGAACAAGAAAAAGACTTTGTATATTGAAATTAAAAAATTAAAAAGGCATTGATCTTGCATCTCTTTAGACTATTCCAGGTTTTTAAATGGAGCAATGTTTGCATGGCATGTAATACCTGGCATGATTTTGCATGATTTCCTGTTTAATTTTGATGAGTTTGTGAGTAGTGGCATGGTCTTAGTGTCTGAGAGTTTGGGCAGTTGAGGTAACTTTAACTGGTGTTGAAATACAGTAAATGCTACTGTGAGCACTAGGGTGCTGTCCTACAGAACACTTAGGGTTTAAATTGATAGGAATCCATCTGTGTCTCCATACCTCTTGTTTGTCTTACTTGAAGCAGATGTTGCTTGGTTTGAGTTGATAGTTTTGAACAATCAATATATGCTGTTGTATGCAAGCTTTCTAATTGCAGAAGAGGAAGCCATTAAATTCTGTAAATGCTGTGAGAAATTAATCACTGTAACCTGTATAAGATGCTGGGCCTGAAATTTGAAATTGCAGGTTCAATTAATCTTTTCATTAATTTGCCATGTGAGTTTTAGCAAGATGCCTAATCAATAAATTGCATTTTCTTCAGCAGCAAATTAAGGTTAAAGTTAAGGTTAAAGGATGTTAATGAATGTGTGGGTGTTTGGTTTTTGTTTGGTTTGTATTTTGTTTTGTTTGTTTGGGTTTTTTTTACATCAAAGAGTGAAAGAAGATGTGTCAGTGCTATGTTTTGATGACTAGCATTTTTTAAAGCTAATTACTTATTACTCAACTATTCAGATATGTTTGATGACTGTTATTCAGAGCACCCTGATAGGTTTCTTGAAAGAAACCATTATGAAATCCCTAAATATGCACTTAGCAAAACAGTAGAAGTAAAAGTTAACAATTATTTGCATAACCACTTTTTTGGTATGAATGTATATTCTGCTGGAAAGAGTACACCATCACTGCAATTTGTTTTAACTTGTCTTTTGCTTTTGATTCTAGATAGCTTCATTATTTGCTGTGTGCATTATGGGTTATATTGATTCCTGCAAATTACAGAAGATACTCGTGGTTCATATGGTAATACTTTTAAAAAAAAAACCTTAAATCCAGAGATTAGAGCATCAAAAGAAGCTGTTTGACTGAAGTGTTTTCCATAGTTGCAAGGTGGTTGGAAAGATGCCATAATATGGGGTGGAGTGGCCTGAATTTGAATATTTGATCTTATATATATTTTATATCACAGTGTCAGAAACTAGGATCCTTGTGGCACACAGGAATCTTTGAATTCTAGAAAAGTTAAAAGCCTAAAGGATTTGTAGCAATACTTGCCTCTCTTTTATGTCTCTCTATATTCCATGGACTTGACGATAAAGTCTCAGAAAACAGACTAGAAAACATACTAAGTAATGGAACATAAGCAATAAAACACAGAAAAGGCAGCATTCATCTCATGCCATAAGTTAGCAGAAACAAAAAAATGATATGTTAGTAAGTAAAAATTAGAGAGTAGGCTCTTTGTAGGGGAAGAAACCCAACTGGAATTAGGTTTTGAAGACTGCTGTCTTCTTGAACACTCAAAGATGTGGTTGAACTATTTGGGGAGGTATTTAAGAAGGAATACAAAGAAAATAAATTATTGATCTGAGGAAAAGCTTTTTTCAAAACTGGGAGAGAAAGTCAGCAAAGGAAGGAGATGATAAATAAAAAGGATGTAGGTTTCTGTGTAATACATCTGATTTTAATTTTTGAAGTTAATAATCAAGTTTTGCTATCGGGAATTTTGGTCTCTGAAGCAACACTATCTTTTAAATATGTAAGAAGATACAAACAACTTTTATTTAGAAATATCATTGTGTTTAAAAATATCTTTTTGGTAAAATTGTTCCGTTCAGTGGGCAAAAAAGAATGTTTACCCCAGGAAAGAAATGTTGAGCTAAACTGTATTTTGTATGTTTTCAAATGTATTTTGAAATACAGTAAATGATAAAGGCAGTATATGCAACTGATTTTTAGTAACAAGCCTGGGATGCCAAGTGCTTGTTCCCAGTCAGATTTACAAGGAAAATTTGCAAATAAGCATCTAGGTTTAGTAATTTTTTGACAGGAGCAGGATGAAATTCTTAAGCCTTTTGGCTTATGTCAATAGATATATCATAATTTTGGTGCTTAAGTGCTGTAGAAAAGCCTATTTTAGATAACAAGTTACATTAGAGAGAAAGCTTGATGAGGCTGGGTAAACTGCCAGTCCTTGTTTTGTGATGCTTTGTTTTTATTACCCCTCACTTTTCTGTGAAAAATGAAAGTCTAACTATGTGAGGAGAGGAGTACGAAAGTCTGCATATTTTAAGTAACTACATTATTTTTCCTTATTCCTATGTATATAAGAAGACAGAGATCATTGATTTTACTCTCCAAGTTAGAAAATGTAATTCGTCTTGCTTTCTATTAAAAAGAAAGCACAGCAGGAGATCAGGGTGGCAGATAAAAGATGCATTTCAGTCTCGACTTTAAACATCACATGGTTAGAGTGCATATGATCAAAGAGAGTTCTGCTTCCTTGACTTTGGTGATGATTGTATTTTAAGTATGTGCTTTTTTGTTTGGAAGGAAGAAGACAGAAGCATTTTATTCAACGTATTAATGTTTGTCCAAGATTCTGAAAGATAGCAAAGAGGATGGAGAAATAATACAATAATTAGAAAAAAACCAATATGCTAGGAATAACTTAAAAAAATTAACTGTTATATTGCCTAGGCTGAGTTAGTCCTATGATATGATCTTTTTGTCTATAAGTACTTGTAAAATATAAATGAACATCGTGGTCTACAGTTGGCTGCCTGTTGGCATTAAGTCCTTATAATAAATATTTTCAGAACAGTGTTTTAAACAGTGTTTTCTGTAAGATGAGTATCAATTTGCACTTGATGTGAAATAGTTGTCTTTACCTTGTGTCGGCAGCTTTAAATGTAATTTCTGTGCTTTCTTACCTTTTCTCTTTTAAATGTAGTTATTTTCTTCTTTCAGGTATCTCTTTTAGTATGTTTTATTCTCATGTTTGGTAATTCAATGTTATTGACATCGTATTATGCTGCATCTTTATTAGTTATTTGGGTAAGTTGTTTAAGAAAAAAATTGTATGACATGGTAAGACTCTTATGCTGTCCTGTTATAAATGTATTGATGTAAAATGTGAAACTTCTGCATTAATAGATAGTTGAGAAATCTTACCTTAAAAATATTTGGAGAATGTGTAAATGCTCATTTAAAAAAATCATGGTTTTACACCAAGACCTCATCTTAAGAGAAATCCGTTAAAGGCTCAGTTCTCTTGTTTTTATGACTCTCTTTTTATAAAAATAAAAGTGATTTTTTTGGGGTACAGTAATTGTGAAACAAGAATTTGAGCAAGGAGGAGTTTGTTCTAAATGCTTCTTTATTAGTTGTTAAACTGCTAATGCAGAACAAATTACTAAAACATATGTAGGAATCGTTTAAGACTACTTGAAACTACTGAGTCATACTGCCATGTTAGTGCAAGTACTCTATATAATTCACTGTCTTAATTTTTCCTTAAATAGGAAAAACAACTCCCAACCTCTTTCAGTTTCATATAGTTTCTCTTAAGTGAAATGGGAGATATGATTGTGTGAGCAGATACACTTTAGCACAGTAGAAATCATCTCCATTTCTGATTCTTTTTGCTGCTTCTAGAACCTTAGGGTGAGCTCAGTGAATTTTTGGTGTTGTTTTGTTTTTATTTTGTCCATTGTCAAAAGAGTGGTAATTTCTCACTTGCACCAACAATAAGCTGTCTTGGATACTGGTATTTGTTGTAGTATAGTTTCCTTGTTATAAACCCACTCTAGTTTCTTGTATCAGCTTTTGTAATAATAGAGCAAGTGCAGGTACATTGATTTGCTTGCCTGTTTTCTGTTTTGGAAAAAATATTTACTATTTGAGTGCTTGTAAGTGGCCTCAGTCACATACATTGATTAGGTTTCTGAAAGCTTTTCACTTTCAGTTTTTCTTGATTGCATTGTTCATCAAATTGGCTTAAAATGAGTCTTCCTTGTGTCAAAGAATGAGGAACATAATGTGAAACAGACAAATACAAATAACTCCTCCCACTCCCCGTATTCTGTTGCCTTGTTTGAAAATTGTTTGTTTTATGCTGTCAGTAATTTATTCATTGCTTCAGATGTTCCTTGTCATTCATGGCAGTAGACATAATTCAGTTTCCTATTGGCTTTGATTTAAAGAAGCTTTCAGCAGTATAACACAAAATTTCACTTGTTAAGGAGAAGAGCTAATCTTCCATTAATTGTAGATGAACTGCAGTTAAGAGGTTTTATGTTGGCATGTTTTGCCAGTGCAGGGTGAAATGACAATGCTAGATATTAATTCATATTTCAGGTTGCATTAACTATGGAGGGGTTTTTAAGAGTTGTGTGGTACAATAGGTGCTACCGAAACAAAAACCAAACCCTCATTCAGGGTGCTAGAATATCTTGTTGTTACTGTATATTACCTGAAAATGTCCATTGATTTTTTTTTTTTTAATTTTTTTTTTTATTAGGGAATTCTTGAATTGAGGCCGAAAGTCTTGAGAAGTGGCAGAAGAGTAGTCCATATATGGGTAAGGAATTTCATATATCTTGAATATCACAAAAGAACTATGACTGTTTGTTAAACTAAAACACAGAAATAACTTCTAGTTTAGTTTCTATCAGTTGAATCTATCAGTTGAAAATCAAATATAGCAGAACTATTCTCTTTAAGCAATTGTCCATATTCCAGAAATATCTTAAATTAATAATGTTCTTAAATTACTGAAGGAAGAAAAAGGGTGTAAACATGTATTTGTATCAGCAAGTTGGAATAGCCTTCAGATGGCAACACATACAGTTTTAAATTACCAACTTAAACATGTTTACAAAATGTAAGTTGTGTATGAAAGTATCTTTAAAATAAAGGACAATTTAGAAAAGGCAAGTAAAAGGCTAACAGTGCTAGCAGAAATGGAGATTAAGATACTGAATTAAATATTCACTAAAATGTATCCTATCTAATTTTTTTTTTTTTTGGGATGTTTTGTATAATAAGGAAACAAGTCAGAGCAAAACACTGTAAGGTGTGTGGCTGAGGTCTGAGGGTAGTAGAAGTCAGGTCCAAACATGGACACACTCCCAAAACTATAGCAAATAAAATACAACTGTATCAAACATGAGAAACAACTTGCTGCTTGAGGTGTAGCATTAACTTGTAAAAATGCCTGGAAGCCTATAGAGTCTATGCCTGGCTTAAGACAAGCATTCTTACTAAAATAAGGGTAAACTGTTAGCAAAACTGGATTGAATTCATACAGTTATTATAAAGGAATTAATTTTTTAAAAAAATCTTTTATATTCTAAATCAAACTGCACTGCATGTAAAAACTGCCAATGTAGTTAGCTGTGGTACCAGGGGAAGTGGAAGTGTAGGCAAATCCAATGTCAGTTTTAAAAAAGGAGATCCAAGGCATTTGTGAAACTCTAGACCAGGAAGTCTAACTTTTGTAAAAGAAGAACAACTTCAACAGTGATGAAGTTGTTAAGGCTGTATGTATGTGAAACACAAGATAGAACTGATACAGCCTCTGTGAGAAATAGTAATGCCTTGGAAGTGTATTTGACTTCCTTCAAGGATATAGATAAGGGCATGTGGGTGAATGTAATTCACTTGAATTTCAGAAACCTTTTGGGGAAGATAGGTAACAGAAATTATAAAAGAAAATAAGCTCCATGGGATAAGGTGTGAAGTTAGAAGGTAAGAAGCAAAGGGTGGTGTTAAATGGTAAGTTTCCAAAAGAAGATCACTACCACCCTGTGTATAAAATAATTGATCCTAAATAAATCCTTGTCACTCATAAGAGAAATGTTAGTATTCTTATAAAAAGTTGTCTGAATGCATCAGTTCATTACTAAGCAGGCATCAAAAAGGAAAATACGTTATGAACGTCATGGAGAAGGAACTTCAGAGAAAACAGAAAATAATATTTGATGTACTACCATTCGATTTGCCTAGAGTATGAAGATATTTGATGTACTACCATTCGATTTGCCTAGAGAGAGTATGAAGAGAATTATTATTGTGGAATCACTGAGATGTTAAAATATGTTAGAATTCTGCCTCTTTAAAAATAAAGGTAAATATGACAAAGCCAGTGAATAGAAGTAGGGTATAATTTTAGTTCATTTAGTGCCCCTTATGCTAGCAGCAATAAGCTTGTAAGAGAGGAAAGATAGTGTGGAAGAAGAAAGAGTTAACAAAGAGGTATCCAGAAAAGGATTAGGTACCTGCTAGTATTTAGTTTTGTTTGCAGCCATTAAATGGGATGATTGAATGCAACTCGTTGTCACGTAAAAGCCCTGGTTACATTAGGGTAAAGATCAGTTTGCGTTTTGATGTTATCTCTGAAAGCACCTGCAGGTCCTGGATGTAAGATACTGAGACAGGTTATCCTATTTAGTTGATCCAGTTTTATAAAGAACTAGATTATGCTAGATTGCCAAGGATTTAGTCTTTCTGGTGCAGGGATAAACGTGATATGTAACTAAAAGTAAGAATTGTATATACTTGCTTTGTATTTCCTTCAAGTTCTAACTTGGTGTTTTCTTGAGAAGGTACTGTAAATCAGCAAATTCTGCCAAAGGTATGAATTACCAGCGTAGTACAATCTGATAATCTGGAGAAGCTATTGGTGGGAAATAATGACTACACATCAGTGTGTGCAAAAGAGATAGAATTGTCAGTTAGGCTGCCCCTGTTTTAAAGTTAGCTTTGTTACCTCCTCTGCTACAATGCCATGTGCACAAATCAGTGGCACAAAATTATTTCAGCTGTAATAGAAAATTAAAAAACAACCCAGCATACTGAAATTTGGGAAGTGTAATTAGAAATTACTGTACTTAATGGTGGTAACAGCGTTTATGACTAGTAGCTACATTTATTAAGCCTTTTAAAAAAGAAGAGGTTTTGTTAAATGTCTCTTGAGACATTTATTTCATTCTGAATGTGTTGGGTTTTTTTAAGGTCATTGAAGGATTTGCCTGGTTATTTGGGACAATTACCTTGAAGTACCTAACTTCTTTAGCACTTGGAATAGCTGATGATGTAAGTTCTTTGAGTATCTGGTTGGTGTCTTTCAGAAATTTTGTAGTTCTTAATATTTTGATTTTGGCATCTTACCAATATACTTTCCTGAAATTCTAAGATGGTTTTGCAGAAGCGGTCAAGGGATTGCATGTTTGCTTTCTCATTCATTATGTAGTATCACTCTGAGATGTTACTGCTGACGTGTGTGACAAGAAAAATGTTTTTACTACTGAGTTAGCGTGTTTGCTTTTAAATGTGTAATTATAGAGCTTTGTTTATTTTGGGGATCTTCTACCTACATCTTAATTTCTTAGTTCGCTTTCCTCAGAAGGCAGATTTAAAATGCTTGTAACTAGGACCACTCACTTCAGCTTCTTTATTATCAGCTTCTAATCTTAAAAACTTACCTGCAGATGTAGATCACAGGGCTAAAGATAAGAAGCTCATATGTTAAAATATGAGTATGCAAAACTACACTCTTGTTGAAGCCAGCTGCAACATTAACACTCTTTGCTGCTTTTCTGCTTTTTATTTTATACAGTCCAGTCTGTGTTACACTCAGAGATGTCTTTTAGTATGCTGGAAATAGATTACAATAACTGCAACAATTTTGTATACGGTATAAACTTCTTACTCAAAATGTTTCATAAACTTTTAAACTACTTTGTTGTGGAAAATAGGACTGGTTTTGCTTACTACAGCTTTTTTTTTCTTTTTAATATCCTACCAGGCTCATATAGGAAATATATTAAAATCAAAATTTATTGGCTACAAGGATTTTGATACATTAATGTATACCTGTGCTGCAGAGTTTGACTTCATGGAAAAAGAGGTAATTTGATCAAAATAAGTTATTATGGAAGAGGAGACTTTGTTATATCTTAATTCATAACTTTAAACATCTGAGAGCCATTATCTCCAACTGCTATCATAAGTTCAAGTGCTTACTCATGAAGTTTGACATATCAGTGAACTTAAGCTGAATTTTACTGGTTTTATTGCTTTTAAATGAACTGAAAAGGAAACAGTATTTTGATTTTGGATCTAAATGTGCTTGTTGAATGAGACAATTGCTTGCTCAGGTTACAGTTCTGGAAAATTAAGATTTTATGTGACTGTGAGTAGCTGGTTTTGAGTAGATAAAAAATGTTGTGAGAGCTGCAGAGAGTGGTCTTGTGTGGTAGATTTAGACTCCAGAAGAGCATCAAAGCTTCTTAGTGTGAGCATTAGATTTCTTTTAGTTCATCAGTATCTAGAGACGCATTTAGAACATATACAGGTCACTCAACTCATAGGACTGAAATTTGGATGAGATACAGTCTACTGTCTAGTCTCTAGGGGGCTTGCCAAAGAACTATGATAAATTTGCTTGTGGACCCCAGTGTTATGACTAATAGTGTGATTGCTGGGTGGAGTTTCAATTTGAGTTTCTTTTAAGCTTGCTTTGTTCTTGTTGAATGTTTAAATTTTACATTTTACTTGAGAGAGAACACATTGTTTTCTTTAAAACGATCATTGAAATAATTATAGGTGAATGGAAAGCAATTAATGCAGTGTATTTCCATTGTAGACTCCAGTAAGATACACAAAGACACTGCTATTACCAGTTGTTCTGGTGGTTTTTGGGGTAATCATCAAAAGGGTAAGTGATTGTTTTAGTGAATCACCTTTACCTTGAATTTAATTGTTAGGTTCTTTGAAGAGTTCACATTATTTTGAAATGGGTATGGTGGGTTAAACTTGGCTGGCAGCCAGATGCCTGCCAAGCCATGCTGTTGTTCTCTGTCCTTAGCAGGACAAGGGGATGAAGAGTTGAAAAATCTCATGAGTCAAGATAAGGACAGGGAGCTCAGTCACCGATTTACTGTCGTGAGCAAAACAGACCTGAATTGGGGAAGATGAATTTAATTTATTGTCAATAAAAATAGACTGGGATTGTGAGAAACAAAACTAAAGCTGTCTTCCCCTCTTCCCCACCTCCTCCTTTCTGGACCCAGTAGGTCCTTCCTACAGGCTGCAGTTCTTTAAGAACTGTTCCAGTGTGGGTCCCCACCAGTCACAGCTCCTGTACGAAAACATGCTTTTGGGGGAGCTTCTCCATGAGCTACAGTTCTGCCACAGGCCTGCTGCTGTGTGGGCTCTCCATGTGTTGCAGTTTCCTTCAGGACACGTCCGCCTGTTCTGGCGTGGGGTCCTCCATAGGCTGCAAGGTTGGCGTCTGCTCCACTGTTGTCCCTCATGCACATTTAGGTGGAAAACCTAAATCACAGAATCATCATGGTTGGAAAGGACCTCTGAGATCACCAAGTCCAACCATCAACACAAACCCAAACAAACACAAACAGCCACAAAAATTCCACAAAAAAACCCACAAAAAAAGCCCCACCTCAGCCACTAGGGCATGCCCTGAAGTGCCACATCTACACATTTCTTGAACACCTCCAAGCATGATGACTCAGCCACCTCCCTAGGCAGGCTGTTCCAGTGCCTGACTACTCTTTAAGTATAGAAATTCTTCCTAATATCCAATCTCAACCTCCCCTGCCACAACTTCAGGCCATTTCCTCTGGTCCTGTCATTACTTGCTTGGAAGAAGTGGGTAACATCCACCTCCCTACAACCTCCATTCAGGTAGCTGTAGAGGGTTGATGAGGTCTTCTCTCAGCCTCTTCTCCTTCAAACTAAACATCCTCAGTTCCCTCAACTGCTCCTCGTATGACTTGTTCTCTAGATCCTTCGCCAGCTTGGTAGCTCTTCTCCAGACATGATCAAGCACCTCAATGTCTTTCTTATAGTGAGGGGCCCAGAACTGCACACAGTACTCAAGGTGAGGCCTCACCAGTGCTGAGTACAGGGGCACCATCACTTCCCTCCTCCTGTTGGCCACACTATTCCAGATACAGACCAGGATGCTATTGGTCTTGTTGGCCACCTGGGCACACTCCTGTCTCATATTAAGCCAGCTGCCAACTAGCACTCCCAGGTCCTTTTCTGCTGGGCAGCTTTCCAGCCACTCTTCCCCAAGCCTGTAGTGTTGCATGTGGTTGTTGTGACCAAAATGCAGGACCCAGCACTTGGTCTTATTGAACCTCATGCAGTTGACCTCAGCCCATCAATTCAGCCTGTCCATGTCCCTCTGCAGAACCTTCCTACTCCTCAGCAGATCAACACTCCCACCCAGTTTGGTGTCATCTGCCAACTTACTGAGGGTGCACTTAATCCCCTCATCCAGGTCATTGATAAAGATATTGGACAAGACTGGTCCCAAAACTGAACACTGTGAGGGACACCACTGGTGATCAGCCACCAACTAGATTTGACCCCCTTTACCACAACTTTCTTAGTCTGGCCATCCAGCCAATATTTTACCCAGTGAAGAAGTACACTTATCTATGCCATGATTTGCCAGCTTCTCCAGGAGAATGCTGTGGGAGACCTTGTCAGAGGCCTTAGCAGAGTTCAGGCAGACAATGTTCACAGTCTTCCCCCCCATCCAAAAGGTGGGTCACATGGTTATAAGAAGAGATCAGGTTGCTCAAGCAAGACCTGCCTTTCATAAACCCCTGCTGGCTGGCCCTGAGCCCCTGCCTGCCCTGCACTTGTCGTATGAGCCTCTCTGTTATCTTTCCTAGTACCGAGGTCAGACCGACAGGCCTGTAATTTCTTGGATCATCCTTCCAGCCTTTCTTGTAGATGGGCATCACATTAGCCAGCCTCTAGTCATCTGGGATGTTCTCTGTTGACCCGGATCATTGATAAATGATGGAGAGAGGCTTAGTGAGCTCCCTCACTAGCTTTCTCATTACCCTTGGGTGGATCCCAACCAGCCCCATAGACTCATGTGTGTCCAGGTGCAGAAGCAGATCATTAACTGCTTCCTCCTGGATTGTGGGTGGCTTGTTGTTCTCTCCATCCTTATCTTCCAGCTCAGGAGGCTGAACACCCTGCGGGGAGCTGGTGTGACTATGAAAGACAGAAGCAAAGAAGGCATTAAGTATTATCCTTGGTTGCAGTGTTCCCCCCCTGCATCCAGTAAGGGACAGAGATTCTCTCTGGCTCTTTTTTTCATTGCTGATGTACAAGCTGTGGGGGAATCTTGCCTTCCACGCTTGGAGCACTTCATCCCCCTCTTTCACTGACTGCTCATGTCTGCAGTGTTATTTTCTCTTCCATTCTTCACACTGCTGTTTCTTAAAGCTGCTGCGTGTTTTTTTTGCCTCTTCTTAAACATGTTATCGACAGGGGCACCACCAGCAACACTGGTGGTCTCGGCTTTGGCCAGTGGTAGATCCATTTTGAAGGTCGCTGAAACTGCCTCTGTCTGACATGGCAGCAGCCTCTGGTCACTTCTCACACAAGCCAAGTCTGCAGGCCCCCAGCTATTAAAACCTTGCCATATAAACCCAATGCAGTTAGATACAAGTTTTCAAAAATATTTGCTTAAAATTCTGAGTTCTCTTACAGAGGTTTTTGCAGTGGATCAATCATGAGCCAGTGGTAAAACTTTCTTTGATGTTAAGCATCAAAAAAATTCCTGTCACTTAGCTGATGAGTATTACAACTGAAGTTTGTAACTGTTTTTGTAAATTTGATTATGTATAATTTGTGTGAAAACAACGTAACAGTTTACACAGGAACAGATGGGATAACTGCCAACTGCCTGGCTAATTAAGCATCCTCAAGATTTTTAGCTAAAACGTTGCATGTCGTTATCTTAGCATTATTTCAGATCGATATTACCCAGGTGTAATTTAATTTAGCAAATGTTGAAAATGCTTTAGAATTATTTTAAAAGCTTATTCATATTTTTTGTTGGCTCTTGTTTTCATCAGGCAATTAAATATCTTATATGGGTCTTATCTCAGGCAGGCCAATATGAAAGGTAAATATTGTCTTCTTTTTAATGTAAAACTGAATTTTCTGATGGCAGTCTATTTGATTTGCTGTATGCTAAATAAAACAGAATTATACCTTATATTGGTCCTTTTTGAAGGATGAATTATGTTCAGTAACTAATGGATATATTCTCTATTTTTATAGGATCATAACTCTTTTACCCTCAAATTTTCTATTTAATGACTTATGTTTCTGCTCTGTTCGTAAACCAATATTTATGTGCCTGTTCACTTTTCTCGTGTAAGCAGTGAATGCAAATTCTGTCTTCCCCATTCTTTTTTCCTAGCTTATAGAGGTACTTGAGTTTCATCCTTAGGAAGGGGTCCCAACAATATTAAACTTATTTTTAAAATATATATTAAAACATATATGATACTTAGTATATATTTTTTATATAAATTTATTTTAATTACTTATACTTAATTGCTATGCTGTGTATTACTTATACTTATTATAAATATATATTATAACTTAGTTTTAAAATATAAAAATATTTTTAAATGCTTTACTTGTCACAGTCATTTGGCATCACTTGTTGATCATAAATAGAGCAGTCAATTTATCCATCTGAGTGTTGAAATTTTCCTCACGTGTCTTTTTGCGTCCTGGTTCTTTTTGTTTGTTTTGGGGTTTTTTTAAGTTATCACTGATCATGTCAGTGATCTCTGCTTTCCATAGCCTAATAGTCATTATTGAAATTTCAACAGATGTGAGCAGGATTCAGTATCCTGTTTTCACAGATGTTTTTGGACAACAACAGATATACATTATTTTGACTCTTTTCACATTCTTTTTTGAAAGCCTCTGTAGTATCTAAGTAAATGACTGACTCTTTTTAAATACCAGTGCTCTGTGTTTTTTATGTTACTGAAGCTTAATTCTCTAAATAAGCTGTTCTGTGTATGAAATAATTTGTGGAAGTAATTAAAAAAATGCTAAAATTAATTTTCAGATTTTCAAATAGATCTCAGGATTGAGGAGGATAGTTACTGATTTGTAGTATATTTCAAAGCTTGTTTTAGAGAGGAAAGAAATCTGTGTGGGTGCTGATTCATGCTTACTGGATTAGTTTAGTTGTTTAGAACCACTATAGATGACTTCAAAGAGAAAGCACTGTTTCTGTAGTACATAATCAAGTAATGGGATTTTCTGTTTTTTATTCAGAGAGGAACGTTTTAACCATGGTGAGGTAAGATGTTTTTTTTCTGCACTATTTTATTCGTATGGTAGTGTGAATACCCAAAATTGAAATACAGGTTGCAATGGTATGATCCTCATACGTGGTTTATTTGAAGGTTAGTAATTGAGTCTTTTAGTCCCTCCTCTTAAATTGGGTGTGATATGTCACCAGAATAACTGGAATGTTGAACACAAAAATATACTAGGTAATGGTGGAGTGGTGGTGCAAGAGAGGAGTCTTTTGGGCTTTAGCTGTAGCAGAACACAAAGACACAAACCAGGCTGGACCTTCCATTTTCCCCATATAGACTAAGAAGGAGATTGGTTCCTTTTCTGGGGCTTCAATGGCAGATAATGTTAAAATTCAGATTTGAAATAGGACATAATGAGAATAATTCTGCATGTGGTTCTTTTAATAAAAATGTGCAAAAAACATATGAATGGCAGCTTATGTGGTTATTTATTTGAAGTAGGTCAGCAAGGGCAGTGCAAAACTTTCTTAACAGCAGTTTATTTATGGTTTGTGCTATGAGAGAGCTCTCATGCCATTGAAAATACGATAATAAATCAATTAGATAAAAGCTGTGATTGCAGAAATGTGTCTGTAATTTACCACAGCACTTCTGTGTGTTCAATGTCAGGGGTGGTGAGTGTCATCTCATGCTTTTTAATGTTTTCAGAGAATCCTAAAGCAGTCTGCCTATACTGAAGTGAGTCATTTCATACTTGGATACTTAGGTATTAGATTGGAAAGTCTCTTTGCTTCCGTGAAGAGGTTATACAAGAAATTCTAAATATGATACTGCCTGTTTGTTTCAGGATCTTTTGCATAGCTAGCCATTTCTCCAGCTCCTTTTGGGTTTATTGTTAATATGGTTATCCTTCCTGTTGGTCCATACTTGAGCATGCTACACACACTTTAGAAAAAAGATAACAGGAAGTCCTTATCACTATCTGAAATGTGAAGATCTTTAACTTGGACTCTTTTTCAGACAACCTTATTACTTCAGCTATGCTGATAATTAAGATGTATGTTTTAAGACACAAATGAAAAGTATGCAAATACTATGCTTCTCTAGTTTTTTGGTTTTTTGGTGTTTTTTTTCAGCTGGTGTATCATGCATTGCAGCTGGTGGCATACAGTGTCCTAGCAATTCTAATCATGAGACTAAAACTGTTTTTGACACCACATCTATGTGTTATGGCTTCCTTGGTGTGCTCAAAACAGGTAAGGTCTCTTCTTAAACCTGTAGCTGTATCAGTACTTGTAGTATTAACTAGATATTTGTTCTAAAGCAAATTTCTGTGTGTAGTTGCTAAATCTGAATGTATCAGTTAAAACATAAAATAGTTTATATTGCCTGCCAAAAAATATGGTTACAAAAGTTCCATTCTCCCCCACCCCAAATAAAGCAAGTGTCTTGTTTTATGCGACTTGTCTGATTGTATTATTATGAGTTAGTGCTTTTTATTGAGCTTGAGCATAGGGAGACATACACTAGATTTTACTGCATTTACATGTTTCTATGTTATTGAAAGTTTTTATTGACTACTAGTTTTATCCAAACAGTATTTGACTGTTTACAGTTTGTTTTCACAGTTCTTAGGAGCTTATTGTCTTCAATACTTTTTGTCTATTAAATCTTTCTGAAGGTATAGTTTCAAAGTCCTGCATGTTGAAAACATTACAGCCTTAAAAGCCAAAAGTATATACCTGACTCAGATTTAATTTTCCTAGCTTGAAATCACCCATAACATAATCTGTTACTATATTTTCTCCAGATATACAAGGTCTTAAAATTGTCTTTCCATGTTCAGTGTCTGTGTTTTTGAGAAGTGAACTTGATCAAATCTGTATCTAAATAGCTGTTTTAGGAGCTTTGCAGCTGTAGCAAAATAGGGTAAGCAGTCCTTTGTTTGGGTAGCAGACAAGGAAGTAGATTGAAAACTGGCTGAACTTAGCCCAGAGAAAGGTGATCAGTGTTACCAAGTCTTACTGAAGTAACTAGTGGTGTATCCCAGGGGTGGGTACTGGATCCCGTCCTGTTCAGTGTCTTTTTATTTAATTGTCTGGATGATGGGACAGAGTGTACCCTCAGCAAGTTGGTACACCAGAGCAGTGTGCTGCCATGGAGAGAGCCCTCAACAGGATGGAGAAATTGGCTGACAGGAACCCCATGCAGTTCAACAAAGGGACTCACCAAAGTTCTGCACCTGGGAAGGAATAACTGCAGGCACCGGTATGTGCTGGGGGCTGCCCATCTGCAAAGTAGCATTGCAGAAAATGACCTGGTGTTACAGTGGACACCAGTTGAACATGGGCTAGCAGTCTATCCTTTCTGCAAAGAAAGCCAGTGGTATGCTGGGCTGTATTAGTGCTGCGAACAGGTTGAGAGAGGTGATCCTTCCCTTTTACTCAGTAGTGGTGAAATCACAACTAGAGTTCTGGGCTCCCCAGTACAAGAGAGGCATGGATACACTGGAGAGAGTCTAGCAAAGGGCTGTGGGGGTGATTAAGGGACTGGAGCATCTCTGTTAGGAGGAAAGGCTTGAGGGAGCTGGAGCTGTGCAGTCCGGAGACGGGAAGGCTCAGGGGAGAATCTTACCAGTGTGTACAAATACCTGAAGGGGGATGTAAAGAAGTTCTCTTCAGTGGTGGCGTGACAGGACAGGAGGTAATGGGTCTGCACACTGAAACAGAGGAGGTTTCTGCTGTGCATCAGGAAACATCTTGTCACTGTGAATGTGACTGAGCACTGGCAGAAGTTGCCCAGGGAGACTGTGGAGTCTCCATCCTTGGAAATATCAAAAAGCTGTCTTAACACAGTCCTGGGCAGTGGACTGTAGGTGGCCCTGCTTGAGCAGGGAGGCTGGACCACATGACCTCCAGAGGTCCCTTTTTAACCTCAACTGTGCTGTGATTTTGTAGAAAGTGTTACTTAGATCACATGAAGTATCTCCTATTGAAAGAGTGAAAGATTATGATTAACAGTGAGCTGAGATTACTAAGAAGACAAATTGGGAAGATGAGGTAGGAGACTTATGAAAATTTCTATATGGAGAACTCTACCATGAGGATGAGTGGGAGAAAGACTAGTGCTAAAAACTGGTGCGGACATAATACAGAAGCAGGAAAAGAGAAAAATATGTGACTAGGAATGGTGGGGGAAGAAAATTAGCATTTTACTCAGCAGCCTTAGTCATTAGGTTTGCTGTTCTTGAAAACTGAAGAAATAGAAGAGTAAAATTTGAGTTCAGTACTCAAAATCCAGAGTGCCAGAACTGTCTGTACAGTGTTTTTCTTGGCTGCTGTGTGCGTATGTGGTATGATACAAACTAAATGCCGATACATGTTTTTTCCACAATATCTGTGGTTGAAGCCTGTCCTAAAAGTGCATGAGTTGTATGGTCAAGACAGTTTACTATCTACAGAACAATGGACACAGAATTATGCAAAGAAGAGAAAGCTGTCCCTTGTTAAGGCAGCTGAACAAATGATTGTTTCCCAGAAAACAGGATTGCTTCCCTGGATGTTCTTTCAGGGGAGGACAAGCTGCACAGTATCAATCTGCTTAAATGTTCTCATCACTTTCTCGATGCCCATTTTGTTACTTGGCATAGACAGAAGTTCTGAGTGTTTGCCAACGTCAAAGGTATTTGTACAGTGACCATAATAAAATGCTTTAAAAGTGTCAAAAGCTCTTTAAAAGTAACTTTATTCACCTTGTAAGTGAGTATTGGGACTTAATTTTAAATTTAATTTCCTCTACACTTTTGCAGTTCTGTAAAGTTCACAGGTGTTCTTATGATATTTCCCAGCTTTTAGGTAGTTATTGAAGTGTGATGTCCTCTTAGGTGGTCTGCTTGTTTAAATAATAGCAGTTACACTGTGATCACTTTTTTCTAAATAAGCTTTCATGAGGTGTTCCTGAGTAATTTGAAATGAAGTTGCTTTTTACAAGTCACAAAGGCAAAAAGAGAGGAAAGTAGATTTTATTTTATTTTTTAACATGCGGTTTCTAGAGAAAAATTACAAGATAAATGAATGATGTCCAAAGTTAGTTTGCTCTTAATTCTTCTTTTAACTGTATGTTCCTAGAAAAAAAATTTTGGGCTTTTCTACCCTGTTAATACTGAAGTATTTTTTTTTTTAGAATTTTCCAGTGGACAAAGAGTTTAGAACTAAGTTTAGAACTAAAAGTATTACTGTATGATTTTGTGCCACAGAATAAGGCCTCTCAGCATTCTGACATTTGAAGAAAAAAAAATCTGAACTGCCTTTTTCCCCACCCCCCCCAGTATGGAAAGAAATAATCTCTAAAAGATAGGGAAAATACCTTGCAACTGGTAATATCTGAAAGATGAGCTGCTAGGAATGATTTCTGTTACTACATAGCCCCACTTGCTTTTTTCCCCGTATAGTAAGTTAGCCACTACATGGCAAATTAGTAAAAGCTTTTGGCTTGTGATCTTTTTCTTTCTTTGTTTTGAAGCACCTGATTAATGGCACTGCAGTAATTAATCTTGGCTCATTGTGGGTTTTAGTACTGCAGCTAAGGTTGTCAGGCCACTTAATGAGAACTGTTGCTTTTGGTAATCGTGTTTTACATCTTAAAGGATGCCATATGTTATCACTGTGTGAATATTGGAAGAAGTACAGGTTCAGAGTATTTTATCAGTGTTTTATTTTTTTTTTTCTGTTCACATCTGCATTTTGGCCCTTCGGTGGTTCTGGTGCTTCCTACGATTGTAGAGTGAGAGTAAGCTTCTCAGGAGGCTTACAAACACAGATAATAACTATTCTGGGAGTTGCCTCTGTTGGAGCAGATGGCTCCTGTCCAGTGACTTTTCTTGCCCTCTTGCAGCATCATAGAAGCGTAGTTGGCTTGAAAGATAACAGGTCTTGAATGCTAGGGAAGGTAAGGCTTTAGATCACTGCAGTTTGGACAGTTGTTTGGAGCAGAAGGTGATAAATGACCAGCTTCTCCATGTAATAAGGCCTGTGATTATCCTGGCCCTGGCTTGGGCACTGGGAGAAGTACATACCTGTGTTCAAGAGTACCCAACTTCAGGTAAACAATGTAAGTAAAAATAGAATTCCCTTGTGTTGTTAACAGTGAAGGTTCTTTTGCATGTTCAGCGTCTTCCTGAGGTTGGTGCTGATTCATACCTGTAAAAGACAAGCCAGATTTTTTTCCAATCTGACTGATGTGCCCCCTCTTTACGAGGGAGTGGCTGCTAATCTTCCAGTTAATTTGTGACTGCCTTCATTCAGCATGAGAGACACTGGCCCTGTCAGGCTCTTGAGTCGCTATTGATCGGACCACTTCAAAGGCTGCTCTAACTTCAACAAGAAAAGGAATAATAAAACTTTTTTTTTTGTAGTTAGGAAAATATCAAGTGGTTTTTAGTGAGCTGCTTCTGTCCTGCTGGCTGCTGAGCTGACGTAGCATTTTGAGGGTGAAAAGCAGACTGTACGTGCGGTATCGATTCAGAAGAATTGCTGCGATGGAGGGAGATGAGAAGAGGGATGTAGGACTTGTGGCCAAAAAACTTATTAGTACTGGCTACACTTTATATTAAGTTTTAAAAGTTTGCATAAATGATAGGTCAAGGAACAACAACTTGTTTTTACAGATGGAAGAAAAATTTAAGCAAATTTAGCATATGTAATTATCACATGTAATTTAGGTCACAGAATGATAGAATGGTAGGGGTTGGAAGAGATCTCTGGAGATCACTTAGTCCAACCTCCCTGCTAGAGCAGGATCCCCTAGAGCAGATTACACAGGAACATGTCCAGGTGGGTTTTGAATGTCTCCAGGGATGGAGACTCCACAGCCTCCCTGGCCATCTTGTTCCAGTGCTCTGTTACACTCAAAATAAAGAAGTATTTTCTTATATTTAGGTTAAACCTCCTGTGTACCAGTTTGTGACCACTGTCCTTTGTTCTGTTGCTGGACATCGCTGAGAAGTCTGACCCCATACTCCTGGCACCCACCCTTTAGATATTTATAAACATTTATGAGATCCCCCCTCAGCCTCCTTTAAGCTAAGCGAACCCAGCTCTCTTAGCCTTTCTTCATGTGGTAGATGCTTCAGTCCCTTAATGGTTCTGTGCTGGACTCTCTCCAGTAGTTCCTTGTCCTTCTTGAACTGGGGAGCCCAGAACTGCACAAAGCAGAGTGGAGGGGGAGGATAACCTCCCTCAACCTGCTGGCCACGCTCTTTTTAATGCACTCCAGGATGACATTGGCCCTCTTGGCATGCCAAGGCACATAGCTGGCACATCGTCAGCCTGTTGTCACCATGACTTCCAGGTCTTTTTCCCCAGAGCTGTTTTCCAGCATGTCACCACCTAACTTGTACTGGTACCTTAGGTTGTTCTTCCCCAGATCTGAGTACTCTACACTTGACCTTGTCAAGGTCAACACTATGCTTTCTTCTAGCAGACCATGGAAGTTGACCTGCCAGTGGTATGTTAGTATAACTAATTTATTTTGAGGCTACTGAAAGCTGTTAATCAGCTCTCTTTAAAAAAGATATCATTTTACTAGTGAACAATCAGCCCAAGATGGACATTTTTAATGCAAACCAAAAAACAACCAAACAGGCAAAAATACATACTAGAATTATTCTGCACATGGAAAAGGAATTCTGTATGTTGTGTTCTTTCAGCCCATAGCACGAATCTGTCTCCTTTCTGTTACCTTAATGTTGCAGCTTGTGGCACCTGATGGATAAAAAAAATGATAACTGTTTACATCCCTACATTTCATCTTTTGGTTGGGAGGAATTATTCTGTCCTGGGTGGAAATTTTGAAAGCAAAGAGAATGTACAGGTTTTATATTTATGAAACGTGAAGCTTTACTTCTAGTTAACAATAGCTTGAAAAAAAGTAGTTCATACCTTGTCTTACTTAATGTTTAGGTCAGATATGGATGAGATAGTGTTCTTGCTCAAATTAAACTTCAACATTGTAAATTTGGTCCTTTTTTTCTTCTTAACTACCCATTTCCCGTATTTATGAGTATTTGCTTAGAGTCATCAGCAAACTCTCTTTAGGAAAAAAAAAAAGATAGGGACATTTTTTTCAGTTATAGAAAGGGAAGAGTAGAATATAAATCAACATCAGTCTCAAACCCCCAAAGTCTGCTTTTCTGATGTTTTTGGAAGTTTGCAGTACTATCTATAATCCATATACTACAGTGAGAAACTCTTAATGTAAATAGATAAAATACTGTAAAAGTGCAGTTAGTGTTATTACTTGCAGAATTTCACATTTGAACTACAACTTTAAAAGCAACATTAATATAATTTATTTTCTTTTTTCCAAAATTACAAATATAATGCCCTGTATTCTGTAAACATGAATGCTTCTAATGAGATCTTGCTGGAGTTATGTGGAGAAGCAATAGCAGTGATGTTTCATATTTTAATACTTGTTAGGTTCCTTATAGAGAAATAAGAATTTATTGTACTGCATATAAAGTTACAGAATTGTTGTGTAGAAATTAATTGATTCTTGCATTTCAGTTGTTTGGATGGCTCTTCTGTAAAATCCAGCCCAAAACATTGGTCTTTGCCATTTTAGCATTGATGGCAATAGAGGGATCAGCAAACCTTCAAGCTCAGTGGAACATCATGGGAGAATTTAGCAATTTGCCACAGGAGGAACTTTTAGAGTGGATAAAAGTCAGTACTAGACAAGGTAAATTATTTAATAACGTATGATGCTCCTCATTTAATGGGAGATGTAACAAAAGAACTTGGTAGGAATGACTGCAGAGGTATTGCTACTATCTTTGGTTTTGCCTTGGTCTATCCTAAAGCTGTGGTTTAGTCACATGTATTCATCTGTGTAGAAGCTCACTCAAGTGAAAAAAGTACTGAAAGCTTGATTTGTCCAACTCCAGGTTGCCAGTCTAGAAGTTGTTGCCACTGATGTAGTATTTCTACAACAAGAATGTTGTCATAAAGTCCAATTTTTTTATTTACATAACATGGGACCTGTATGTGAATCAGTTGTTGCCACTGATGTAGTATTTCTACAACAAAAATGTTGTTGTCATAAAGTCCAATTTTTTAATTTACATAACATGGGACCTGTATGTGGATCAATGATCATAATTTTGCTAGAAGAGAATTCCAA